GTCGTGTCTTCTTTCAGCGAAAGATGGAGCGCTGACAGGGCGATATAAGTGGAGTAACGAGGGCACAGAGCTCGCTGTTCTGGGTGTAGACGACTCGGACGTCTTCCTTTTACTCGTATCCGAGCGTTGCAGTTTTGTGGACAGCGTGTAGCCCAGCAGCACATAGTTGTCCACAGACGCCAGAAGAACTGCGTTCTTAGTCTCTTGTCCAGGATGTTGGGCTGTATACGGCTTAAGTCTTGCGTATTGCAGTGCCACATTCTCTCGCTCACTTGTCGAGTGCTCGAGCGTCGGGTAGCGAGCGACACGTCCACCAGACACGTACGTGGCCGGTAGTAGACGCGCCAATAGCGAAGGTGTGTCATCTCTCCCGAGGAGCGCTGTTTGTCCCGTTAGAACCGCCTCAACCTCGTCTAATGAAGCTTGCAGAGGCTTCACAGCTCGGAGACTGTAGCAGCGGGTCGCAGAGCGTCGAGCGCTCTCGTAGAGCTTAGCAGCTTCGTCTGGAAGTGTACCAATACGCTTCCACCGCATCGGCTGGAAGATCTCCTTGGCCCGTGCACGTCCGCATAGTCGCGCTTGCTGCTCGTCGTCCACGGCCGCCAGAGACATCGCTGCAATGGGCAGAGAGGGCAAGTGAAGCGTGGCGGAAGAGGAGGCAGCTACACCGTGGGGATCCTACCAGGAGTCAGAAAATAGAGTCAGAAATTAAGAAAGACGTGATACTCTATAATCAATGACAAAAAGGATGTCTAAAAGTGAGACAAAAATTGAGTGCCACAGTTTTCTCGACGTGACAGTATTTGGCTCGCCATTGCCAACACGTGTTTATCGTGCGGCGCCACTGCTGGGACGACGGCTGCAAGCCATAAAGCGCTTCGCTCCATGGCTCACTTCCCACTGCAGGATCTTCTACCTTTGTGTGGCTCACTTCAGGAGGCAAGAAAGTGATTTTGGATTCGATCTTTAAGGTGATTTAGGAACACTTTAAAGTCTAAACGTTGGCGAGGTACGTGAGAGCTTACTAAAAGCCGAGCAAAGGAGCTCTTGTCGAATTTTATGACGGGATCAAAGCGTGATTTGAATTCAAGCTTGTTGCGAGGACAACGTTCTACGAATGCTGATGGGGCTGCTCGAGTCTCAAAGTACCTTTGAGACAACATGTTACATGGACTGGCGTCAAAGTGGGTATTCAAGGCAGTAATGGATCAATCCATCGATTGGCAACGGCAGAGTGGTTTTAAAGAGTGGATTAATAATGCATGTATTATAATAATAAATCTGATAACGTTATGGCTAAAAATGACTACCCTCTGTCCGAAAATGTAGGACCACATCAAAACTTTTGAGGATAAATCAGCTAGTATTTTTTGTCTTAAAAGAATTAAAAAAAAACTTATAATTTACTAACGGATTATTATTATCTGCTGTAGAAGTGAATCTAACGTTGTTATTATAATTGAACATGAAAAATTGAATTTATAATTGAGCTGTCGCGGTTAACGGCTGCAGCAGAACGCGAACTCGCCTGCAAATATCGCGCTGATGTCGCCACAAAACCCGCGGTAGATGCCAAAATACTGTGAAATCGTTGCCACGGAAATAAATCACTATATCTTTCTAAATCTGAACAACTGTAGTACGTCACAGGAGGTTATTATAACACCAAGATGTGCGGGTGCGGTCCACTGGAAGGTTTTGCCAAGTGTATTAATGGCTAAGGAGTAAATTGGGAAGTACGTGACGACTCGATCCGGTCACGAGGCCGCTATCCACTCCAGTGGTTTTCTGGTGGGCATTCATCGGAAGTCCAACAGTGAGACATGTAGATTAAATAGTACATTTAGCTAAAAAAAATGCTTAAGTGTAAACCACGCAGTTGGCGCGGTCACCTAGTTAGCTTGTAATGAAAAGCACGATAAATCCAGGTATTTTCATTTTAGAATGGATCTCCTGCTGAACATTCGAAAACTTACCTTTATGAAGCGGATCGGTAACATTTTCGGAATTTTGATAGCTTTCAATGCATTCAATCTCTTTTGCAGATGCTAGCTATATACTACGTTGTATATAATATATAGCTTTTTGTAGTTTCACACTAAACTACAACCGTTTGACGAACTTGACGAGGCGAAGATACTGGGGATTCGTCCAGTTGTACAGGATCTCATCCAGCTTGGTATACCCCAGCGATGTGTAAAATGCTTTTGGTCCATCACTGTTTGCGCCAGTACTCAGAAAGACACGCTTGATTTTGTTCTGCTTGGCCCAGCTCTCCAGCTCTGCGATCATTTTTCGGCCTATACTCATGCGCTGGTAGTTTGAATCTACATCCACGCGTCGAATCTGCCCAACGTCCTCCGATTCGCGCAGCAGTCCGATGATGCCCACGACCTTGCTTGACCCGTCTTTTGTCACCACAGCGACAAAGAAGTTTCCACCTGGAGCCATGTGACTGCCTTCGATGTCAGCTAGGTCATTCGTCAGGTCCTTACGGAGAAGCTCTCCCCACAGGTAGTGATACTCTGGATTAGGGTCCAAAGCTAGCATGCCCTCGACGTAGGAATTGGTAGCTTGGGCATGATCTTCTGGACGATACTGTCGGATTTCGATGGTTGCTTGAGTTCCAGCGGTCATAGCGGTATTTCAATACGAGTAGTTTCTTAAATTCTTAAGTGAAGTTAAACAATGACCATGTTGCTTTTGAAGCTGCTAATGAACCGTCGCGCTGTTTAGATGAGCGGTTGTTTTGATGATCATATTTATGTAAGTGAACGCGTTTCGCGAGTCGTCTTGCCACCGAGGTGGATCAACTTCCGCATGCGTCGGGTTATCTCTCATTCTCCACGTTTCTCTTTTCTCTCGGCCAGAGCCCATTAAGCGGCGCTGAGAGAAGTGTGGCGAGGGAGAAACCCGTCAAAGACTGGCGGATGCTGTGAAGCACCCGTCGGAAGGCCTGAGCTGGCTGGCTCAGCCTTGAGTTAAGGGGGCGTCACCCAACCCGACCAGGATCATGATGATGATAGCGATGATTATTATGTAGCCGTAGAGTAATCAATTCACACATAATACGATTTGTTTTTACAGTAAAGTTACCCAAAACATTTGTAGTCTCTAAATACGTGTACTTCAATAGGGAAGCTTTCGTCGTGATATCGACAATGATTATCAAATTGGGTTTTAGTTGTGCAGCAATTCAGAACTATTAATAGTACATATGACGAGAATATCTTGTTTTACCTACATGCTTCTCCGATGGCAAACACCCCCTGCCCAGCAGATTTTGGCAAAGTATGATCGCACTGCCTTCGAAGCTGACGTGCAACAGCATTACAAACCAGCCTCGAGGGAGAGATAAGCCACCAACGCCCATTGCACTCAGACGCGTTATTGATTGATTCTAATAGACGTTTTATCCAGGATTTTTGGATATTTGTTACCACTATTTAGTTTAAAAGAAAAGAAAAAATCTGCACACTGACAGTTGCGCACCTAGCCTTGAAGAATTCCTAGAGCATTTGTTACTTAACCAATTTTTTAAAGCAGGCATTCATTCATGACTTTGGAATTGATTAAAATGGATGGCATTCTTCTTCTTTTTTGTAACGTCGTGTATTAATAATACTGCTTTCTATGATAGTGCTGGTTTCCTGACAGTCGTGGGGACCAAAACACACAAATATATTCAGTAAGATCGTCTAGAATCAGCTTCAATTTCGATCTTGAGATCGAGATGAAACCCGGGAGTGGCAGGGCAGGTGCTTTAGGTGCAGGCGAAAATTTGTGAACTGAGAACCTCTCCAAGTTGGGGGTTGGAGTCCAACCACCAGTACCAGCCACGCTGGCTTTCTTGCTTCATATGCCACAAACTCTCCTGAGGTATTAATACAGTACAGGTGCAGCCCGAAAGTTGCCGAGGGTTTGGTTGTTGACTCCTGCAAATCGTGGAAACTATCATTCTTGGGTTTCGTCAAGAAACCCAATTTCTTAAATAAAAGTTCGTTTATCAAACTCCCGGTGAACCAATTAGTTGTGGTTGTTAGACAGTTCTGAGCTTCACATTTACTTTTTGGCTCGATGCCGATGACAGACGCTCTGGTGACTATCGATGAGCATACAGGGCTCCCCACGTTTCTCCGGAATATGAATGGCGATATAGACTCCATCGGCCTAGCACTGGACGATACCAACAACGACTTACTCGATGACGGCTTGCCTACACTTGAACCAGGAAAATCCACTAACCAGACTTGCACACCTCAGAAGCGTAGCTACTACCCGAACTCATCACGTCTCAAGCTACTACGGGAGCTTCAGCGTCTGCGCGTGGAGGCCTCAGATTTGGAGCTGAAATTGCAACAGCTACAGAATGGCACCAACCATTCTCTGTCACAAGATTCAGAGTGGAGTGACACGACACTTCCTGCGGTGTGGGAGGACGTTTGCGCCCGACAATTATATCGCCGACTGAGAGCAGAGCAAGAGAACTTCAGACTCAAGAAACGATATAGCAAACAGAAGAGAATGACGAAAAGCATTGGGAAAACCCTGCTTAAGCGGTGGTCATTCCAAGAGTTCGCACCCGAAGCAGGCAAATATATTCGAAGAGTCGAGATCCCGCCAGAATTCGTCAATCACCTGACTGACCGGATATTTCAAGATCTGGACGCTGGTGTCGAGGTTTTGTATCACGAGGCGGAATCGGTGTTGGAGACCAACTCTCCCTTACCTTTGGGCGTTAAAACGCACAAACATTTGCTGCGTGAAGACACGAGTGTGGAGCTATTCGACCGAAATATATTTCCATTCGGCTTGCACACAACCGGTGACGCGTGGTGGAGACGCTGGCAGAAATACAGAGGCCAACAACGGGATGAGAATGCGGGCGACACGGTTAGAGAGAGCTGCGGCTTAGAGATGATCGACTCTAAGGCCGACATGAGTGCGATGTTTCACATGCAGCAGGTTGTGCGACGGCACGTGGAAGATCACCGCATCGTGATCGTCTGGAACACTTACTTGGAGCCAAAGGAAGAACGATTTTGCGGCGTGCAATTCTTGGTCAAGGGCTGTGTGCTGATGAAGCCTGTTGAGGAAAATTCGTCGGATAGTGGCAGTGATATTGGTGAGGCTTTCACGCGTGTCTTGACGAGTTACAATATCACTCCATACGTTTCGGACCCGAAGATAAGCAAAAGCTCCAGCTTGGTCAAGTTTGTAGTGAGTACTATGTCGACTTACATCTCGACCAGCAATGAAGCAATGGAGAATCTGCTGGTGGATGAGACACTGCAGAAATACTGCTGAAAATGGCAAGGAGTGGCGGACATGTAGGTGAATATTGAATGTAAAAGTCAAAGTTGTCATGAACAAACATTTGACCAATATTCCTTCGCCTAGTGCTCCTGATTCTTCACGTCGGCAATTCAGAGCATCGCACATCACCTCTTCGCTATCATCCTGACCTCGTCACTTTACTATATTTTAATTAAAATAGCCACTCTCGGATATCTGCGGCGTCGATTTTCTCAGTGCCAGCGAAAGTCAGGATTGCTTAACAAAAACCGTGGTGACGGTGGCCATCAGGATACCAGAGATGCAAAGTCGTTTGTGCAGTGCTCGCAAATGTCAAACCCAATTCTGCACCCGTGCCCCAGTCCAGCGGTTAGCGTTGTCCGTGTGAATAATAAGATTCATCTGAAATTTCTAAATTATCTGAATTTTCTAAAGACAATCCGCTCGGTAATCATATCGTTGGGGGTGCTTTATATTCTTATAAGGGAAAGTCAATTGCGCCATAACAAAATAATTCTTCGGTCCGAAAAATTATTACCAGCTTGGTTTTTCTAAAAGAAAACTCGCATGTGTGATTGGTCAATGTCCATGGGAACGATTGGTTAAAAAGAGTTCGTTTGAGTGCACACGGATTGAGAGTAATTGACACGAAAATGGATTCAATGGCTTTTAGTGATACACCACTAGATTAAGCTCCGTTTGCACTTTTTCTTGTATATTTTAAAGTTTAATTCTGATTATTTTTGTAAAAGTTCAAATGGTCGGGTATCGGCAAAATTGGCGGGAAATTTGCTCATAAAGAATCGTAATGACGCATAGTAAGAAGAGCTTTCAAACTAGCTTCCGTCGGAGCTGTCTGACCGAAGTTATCACTGATTTAAAGAATTATTAATTCTTTTTCGGACCGGACAAATATAAAGCTGGCGATGTTTCAGCTACTCCTCGCGTTTACTCTCCATCGCATGCGGCAACACGCGTCACTTATTGAACATAGTCTGGGTTATCAGGGAGAACGTACCAGTGGATTTTAAAGTTTTCTGCTCACCTTTGGGATGTCGTGTAAGCAGCGCTGAGAGGATTGCCAGCAGCGCGCATGAGAATTATAATTAGTTTGGAAAGATATGGATCCTCCCGGCGTCCTGCTTAATTATCGTTAAAAACGTAAAATTAGAAATAAATGCCTTAACCAATTCCGTTTTACATACATGTATGAGTTTGTATGCCGCTGGTCATGCATTTAAGGTGAACAGACGATCATCTCTGGGTTGATTTCCCCAATAGTAATCTCCTCCAAATAACCTGACCGCTTGTTAGAAACTTAGGATAAACTGACCTTTTTCACGATTTTTTTATCAATACTCACTAATGAGTATTGATAAAAAAAATCGTGGATATTGTTAATAAGAGGTGAATAACTAAATACTTGGTCCGTTCTGTCAGGGTCGGCTGGAGAATGTTGCTTCTTGATTTTAGAGGTGACAAACGTTCAGATCCATATTTACATGCACTACATGTAGTAAGCCAGCAGCCGACCCGATTTGAGTCTAGTAGTGGAAAGCGGACCGAGCGGTGCGACTTTGCAGTCAGAGCTTCCAATGGTATAGCTTCGAGTAAAGGCTTGTGCTTTAGGACGATTCTAATCGCTGCCTATGATAAAGCGCGCTGTATTAGCTGAAACACGTTTTGAGTCCACAACGCAAGCTGGGCCTGGCTCAATGATGGATCCTCGGTTTTGTAGTGGTAGATCTGCCATCGCTGTTCATTCGTTAGCCTGCTTCGCGACGTGGGTGGGGCCTTAGTGGGCGAAAGTGTACGCGGAATTGCAGTGGTGGGCGAAGAGCTGATAAATGCCATCGCTAGCCGGGCAACAATTAAGCCACTTTGCGTAACGACGGCACCCGGTGTTGTGTGTACCTTTTAGTGGGTACAACGCCTTTTTGTGAAGGCCTCCCCACGCTATCAATACAGAGAGGGTCGTCTGTATTCCAAGTCTGGGGATTACTACCGAGAGGATTGTCTGTACATGTTGGTAAAGAAAAACAAATGAGCGAAATATAATTCACATGTCAATAGCTTTTTTATTTTATGAGCATAAAATACAGGTCTAAATTACGCGATTTGATTGGCTAGTCAATTGATACAAAAACGTCACTAATATTGTTCATCCAAACAGCACGATTGTCTTGTGACACGACAAGGACTCTTGCCCTTAATTAACCCCTTGGTTCCCGGAATTTATGACAGCTAACGTATAAGTCACGGTACTGTTATGTCGTAACTTACGACGTGCGTAGTTACTTTGGTTCTGTATGATGTGCATAGACGTCTGCGGGAAGCGATAT